TTTCTAGTCAATAAAGCCATTAACGTTGAGATCTTTCTAAGGAGAAAAGGATAATAGTGAGAGCAGCATATAGGACACAGAGGACAACCAGGAAAGTGTTGTCCTTAATCAGTAATTCAGTAATAAAACTTTTATCTCCCTTTATTTACATTCACTCACATTACTTGAAATAATCCTCATTCACTAATGTTCATTTGTGTGAAGTAATAGCTTATAGTGATTACAACATACTATATTCCAGGCATTGAGTTGAAAATTCACTTGGACAATATTCTTTTTTAGTTATCCCAACAGTCCTATGAGGTAGGATTATTATTCCCATTTCATAGGTAGGGATAACAGAGTTAGAAGGGGTAAATGACTTAGTCCAAGTCCCGGAGCTGATGAGCAGTGAGCTAGGATTTGAACCCAGAAATCTGTTTCTGGGTCTGACTCAGAAATCAAGTTCTTAGTCACCCTACTGTGTATGTCCTACCTCCCCAACTTTTTAAGGACCGTATTTTAGATATCTTCTCTGTCTCCAAGTATGTCCCGCATAATAGTATTAATAAATATTTCTGGATTAATTACTGTAAAGAATTCGGGAGGAGAGGATTAGATATGCCAGAATAACAACATGGACTGAAACTGGGCTTTTGTAGTTCAGTAGTTACTTTAATAAACTGTGGTTTCAGGGGCGCCTGGGTGGCTCCGTCAGTTAGGCATCCGACTTCAGCTCAGGTATGATCTCACACTCCGTGAGTTCGAGCCCCGCGTCGGGCTCTGTGCTGACGGCTTAGAGCCTGGAGTCTGCTTCAGATTCTGTGTCTCCCTCTCTGTCAAGGGAGACAAGACAGTCAAAGGGCAAGACAGTGTTGGGCTGGGGGGAGTGGAATTGTAAGGATTTGAGGTTGGAAACAGATAGCAATGATTCTGAAAAGGAATTGTTGTAGGAGACCCGGGGCCCAGTGGAACTTAAATGGCGGGAGTTTGTAACTGACCAAAGTCTTTTTTTTTTTTTTCTTTAACCCTTCCCTTCCTCAATTTTTTGTAGCCAATAAAATGGACCTAATTTTAATCAAAAGTTGAGACTTAACGGGAGACCACAGGAGTAAGGGAATGTGAACGTACTCAAGGTGTAAATAAAAACAAAATTACAAGAGATTGTTTTTTTATTTAAAATGTTGAACAACAGGGGGCGCCTGGGTGGCTCAGTCGGTTAAGGTCATGATTTCATGGTTCATGAGTTTGAGCCCCTCATCCGGCTGTCTGCGGTCAGCACAGAGCCTGCTTGGGATCCTCTGTCCCCTTCTCTCTCTGCCCCTACCCTCGCTCTCTCTCCAAAATGAATAAACATTAAAAAAAACAAAAAGTTAACGTATCTGATTTCCAGAGTTAATGAAACACATTGGACTTCTTAAGTTCCTGGAATGTGCATAAACCCAGATCACTGAGCTGTGCTAGACACTGAAGCAGACTGCTGGACGCCCAGGAGCCTGGCCATTTAAATGAGAATGTGGTTTTCTTTTTTTGTTGTTGTTAACATTTGTTTACTTTTGAGAGAGAGAGAGAGAGAGAGAGAGAGAGAGAGAGACACACAGAGGGAGGCATGAACGGGGGAGGGGCAGAGACACAGAATGGGAAGCAGGCTCCAGGCTCCTAGCTGTCAGCACAGAGCCCGACGTGGGGCTCGAACTCATGGACTGTGAGATCGTGACCTGAGCCGAAGTCGGACACCCAACCGACTGAGCCCCAGGTGCCCCGATAATGTAGTCTTCTTTATCGCCACCATGTGTCTTTTTTGTATTCTAGAAGGGGTCATCTTCCTCCATCCCCACTTACTCTTTATACTGTAGGTCAGATGATGAAATCAAAAGGTGGTGATCCGTTGCGGTGTCCAGAGTTAAAGAAATTTGAAGGAAACAGCCTCCTACACAAGCGTTCTTACTATTTTCTAAGGCCATTTTCCTTTAAAAGGCAATAAAATTACATACATGGATATAGAGCCTAAAAATATGTAACTGACTCGGCGGGGCAACGTCTTACAGCGATTTTATCGCTTTTAGCATTAGATTCTTTTTCTGGTCCTCCACTACAGCATCCCGTCTGAGAGAAGCAGATCCCTTGTCAGGGGCCTCTTTAAGATACACAGATATAGATGCATGAATTTGACTCCTGGGGAGTTTAAATTCTAAAAGCCGCTAAAACAAAGTTCAAGGTTTAAATTCATCGGCTGTATGCATCAGATACATCTTGATTTACCTGAAATATACTTTCCTTATTACTATTCAGTGGCCTGAATTTTATTTATGAGAACAGCCAGCCTTCACAAAGGCAAATAGTGTTCCCCAGAGTGTATTAGAATACACTTGTAGACGTTGCAGATTTCAACTCCATTTTTTATTCCTTTGTGCAGTTACAGCTTTCTGTAAACCAGTGTTGTTCATTCTTCGTGAGCACAGTACCTTCTTTTGTAGATTTTCATCTGCTGGCAGTCCGGACCCTAGTCTTGCCCTGGTTTTGAAGGAGATATAATAAAACACAAGCTTTCTCTTGATAAATTCTGAAATGTGGAGTGTGTCTTATTGAATATAATTTGAAAACATTTCCTCTTTCTAATGTTTATTTTTGAGAGAGAGAGAGAGAGAGAGAGAGAGAAAGTGTGTGAGAGAGTGGGGAAGGGTCCAAGAGGGGGTAGTACAGAGGATCTGAAGCAGGCTTCTGTGCTGACAGCAGGGAGCCTGATCCAGGGCTCGATCTCAGAACCGTGAGATCACGACCCGAGCTGAAGTCAGATGCTTAACCAACTGAGCCACCCATGTGCCCAAATTTAAAAACCTATCTAAGATCCTAAGAGTTGCATCTGTCAAGGTAGCCTTAAGACCGTTACGAATTTCAGTCAACTTTAACTGTTTCCCTTTGTTATTTTATTGACCATTTTAGAATACAGAGGAGCTTTACTGCAAGATAACCCTGATTTTCACAGAATATTCTACTTTAAACTTTCTAAATGTAGTATGCTTTAGTACATCTAAAAAGGGTATGTTTTGTTTTTGTAAGATAAAATGGCAGAATCCAATTAATGAGAAATCTTTTTTTTTTTTTTTTTTAATTTACATCCAAGTTAGTTAGCATACAGTGCAACAATGATTTCAGGAGTAGATTCCTTAATGCCCCTTACCCATTTAGTCTATGCCCCCTCCCAAAACCCCTCCAGGAACCCTCTGTTTGTTCTCCATATTTAAGAGTCTCTTATGCTTTGTCCCCCTCCCTGTTTTTATATTCTTTTTGTTTCCCTTCCCTTATGTTCATCTGTTTTGTTTCTTAAAGGCCTCATATGAGTGAAGTCATAGGATATTTGTCTTTCTCTGACTAATTTCGCTTAGCATAATGCCCTCTAGTTCCATCCACATAGTTGCAAATGGCAAGCTTTCATTCTTTTTGATTGCTGAGTAATACTCTGTTGTGTATATATATACCACATCTTTATCCATTCATCCATTGATGGACATTTGGGCTCTTTCCATACTTTGGCTATTGTTGATAGTGCTGCTGTAAACATGGGCGTTTGTGTGTCCCTTCGAAACAGCACCCCTGTATCCCTTGGATAAATGCCTAGTAGTGCAATTGCTGGGTCGTAGGGTAGTTCTATTTTTAGTTTTTTGAGGAACCTCCTTACTGTTTTCCAGAGTGGCTGCACCACTTTGCATTCCCACCAGCAGCGCAAAAGTTGTCCTCTTTCTCCGCATCCTCGCCAACATCTTTTGTTGCTTTAGTTGTTAATGTGAGCCATTCTGACAGGTGTGAGGTGATATCTCATTGTGGTTTTGATTTGTATTTCCCTGATGGTGAGTGATGTTGAGCATTTTTTCACGTGTCAGTTGGCCATCTGGATGTCTTCTTTGGAGAAGTGTCTATTCATGTCTTTTGTCCGTTTCTTCACTGGATTATTTGTTTTTTGGGTGTTGAGTTTGGTAAGTTCTTTATAGATTTTGGATACTAACCCTTTATCTGATATGTCGTTTGCAAATATCTTCTCCCATTCCGTCGGTTGCCTTTTAGTTTTGCGGGTTGTTTCCTTCGCTGTGCAGAAGCTTTTTATTTTGATGAGGTCCCAGGAGTTCATTTTTGCTTTTGTTTCCCTTGCCTCTGGAGACGTGTTGAGTAAGAAGTTGCTGTGGCCAAGATCAAAGAGGTTTTTGCCTGCTTTCTCCTCGAGGATTTTGATGGCTTCCTGTCTTACATTGAGGTCTTTCATCCACTTTGAGTTTATTTTTGTGTCTGGTGTAAGAAAGTGGTCCAGGTTCATTCTTCTGCATGTCCCTGTCCAGTTTTCCCAGCCCCACTTGCTGAAGAGACTGTCTTTGTTCCATTGGATATTCTTTCCTGCTTTGTCAAAGATTACTTGCCCATATGTTTGTGGGTCCATTCCTGGGTTCTCTATTCTGTTCCATTGATCTGAGTGTCTGTTCTTGTGCCAGAAAAATCTTAATACTCTTTAGAAATCATGTAAGTGTGTGTGTGATTAATGTTAGATTAAAAGAGTATTATTTCTGCAGTTCCAGGGTGAAATTTTACCAATTTATCAGATATAAGTAATTTGAACTTTCCTAAATGTGACCAGCTTTAATTTGTAGATAACTGAACAGTTCAGCAAACCTTTTCCCACTTGTTGACAGGCAGGAGTGCTGTGGGAGACCTTTTGAAAGAAGATATTTAAGAATGTGCTTAAATTGGGGAAAATGGAAGATGGGCATCGAGGAGGGCACTTGTTGGGATGAGCACTGGGTGTTGTATGTAAGCGATGAATCACAGGAATCTACCCCCAAAACCAAGCGCACACTGTATACACCATATGTTAGCCAACTTGACAATAAATTATATTTAAAAATATATATATATATGTTTAAATTTTTATCACTTTCACTTCTTGTAGGATGCTTTGAAAATGACCTATATCTCACTGAAGATTTTCTGTTTGTTTTACTTTTGTGCTTTGTCCGTATACGTATGTATCCCAGGGTCAGTGATGAAAAGGACGCACGAGGGTATCTGCAGGCCTTAGCTTCTAAAATGACTGAAGAGTTGGAAGCTTTAAGAAATTCCAGCCTGGGTGCACGAGCAACAGTAAGCTCAGTGGTTTTGCGGGGAGAGTGATCACCTTGGGTGGGTCTGTCTAGGTAGGCTTTAGCCCACTGTGAAGTTTCTCCCAAGAAATCAACGAGTCCACGTCTTGGCCAGTTTGGGAAATCATAGCACATCACTGCCTCCCTGTAATTTGCAGTAGGTAGCCATTGTTGGTAATAATGACGAAAAATAAACTCATCTGTATGTGAATCTACACCTATTTCCGAATCACTGAAAAATGATACATTGTCACAAGTCGCCTTTCGGCTCTATTGTGTTATTAGAGAAGGTCAGTGCCTTTAAGTAGTTTCCAAATTTATTTGCACTCCCGAATTGGAATGTTAGGGATAAAATAGGACGGAGCTAAAACCAGTCGTATTGTTTGATAGGATATGCCCTGGAAAATGCGTCGTTTTGCAAAACTGGACATGTCAGCTAGACTGGAGTTGCAGTCGGCCCTCGATGCAGAAATAAGAGCTAAACAGGCCATCCAAGAAGAGTTGAATAAAGTTAAAGCATCTAACATCATCACAGAATGGTAAGCTTGGGGAATAGACTCTCCCAGAATTATTTTAAGTTGGTCTAGAAGTATTTGGGGGGGGGAAAGTTCTATGTTTAGCCCCTACCTATCACTCTGCCATAGATCTTTTACAAATGAAGGTTCTCTTGGTGATAAATTTAATAATGGTAAACATATCTTAATTATCACTGTTTTTGCTGTTCTTTTATGTAGTACAAAAAGTATATCCTCTCCACAGTCTGAGACAATTACCTGATGAATATCTTCCTTCAATCCTCATCACAACAGTAGAGCAAATTATACTCTGAAGAAATAAATGATACAATGAAAATCTTAATTAGATGGGATATAAACATGGTTCAAGAATAAGTCAGAGAAACAATAGAAAGTTCTGGTCACAAATCAACATATAAATAGAAAAATCCATTTGGTGCTGGAAAGCAAAGTCCCAAAGGCATTCAATCGTGAAAAGAAATACGGTCCCATAAATTCAGTATCTAACGGTGTGAAGCCTTTTAGTGCTTCGACTGTAATCACTCATATTCCGAATCGAATCGGAGGTCAGGCAACCAGCACCCCAGCTGAATTATAAACTCTTGTTATGAATAATCCAGACATAAATTAAGTACGCGTTGCCTAAATGTGCTCGTGTGACACCAAAAATGGGAGAGAACGCTTTCCGGAGCCAGCGAGTCATCTCGAGCCCAAAGCGCCGTTGGGTGCAGTTCCCCAGGTTCTACCTGGACCGAGCGCGCGCCGCCTTCTCCCGCCTGGGACGCGGGACCATGAGCAAAGCCAAAAACTGTAGACACGCTTGTGAAAATGCTCCATTGCCGTGGCTCTGTGTAAAAGAGCCTCACCAAATTCTAAATTTGACCTGTAGTTTGAGGACATTTTAAAATTGAATCATTTAGCTCCAGGTCAGCATCTTCTCTAAAACGCCAGATCCAAGGTGTCTCAGGCTTGGTGGGACACGGGGTCCCTGCCCGCTCAGCCCCGCTGTCATAGAGCGAGAGAGGCCGTGGACCGTCCGTGAACGGATGGGCCTGGCCGTACTCCCGTAACACTTTATTTGCACAAGAGTAGGTGACAGGGCCGATTCATCTGCCCTGCAGTGGTTCGCACTTCCCTGATTTGACATGACTGACACGGAAACCAAGAAACTCCAACCACGTACTTACTGTAGGATGGCTCCCTAACTGGCGATAAAAATAATGACGTTTTTCCTTTTTTTCCCTTATTGAAGTAAACTGAAAGACTCCGAGAAGAAGAACTTGGAGCTACTATCAGAAATCGAGCAGCTAATAAAGGACACTGAAGAGCTTAGATCTGAAAAGGGTATGAGAATGTGTTTTGCATCAATCAGGGCTGCTTCTGTTCTGAATCCGTTCTGTCACACGAGCGTCAGCATCTTGCACGGGTCGGGGAGTTATTCACGCAGCAGCACTGGCGCTCACTGATGGATATGTGTATGCTCACGTCACACGCCTCACACACACACACATACACTAGCCTGGTCTCTGAGTCATTTTGTTGTGCTCAATATACATTGTTTAAAGAATTTCGTAGTAACAGAAAAACTCACTTTGCCATAATTTGGACCATTTTTCCATAGCCGCAGACTGTTACACAAATAATATTTTTGTGATCGGAAAAAAACTATTATTTGTATAATATACCTTACACTATTTTCAGATGTTGTAGGGGCTTCACTCCCGGGGTAGTTGAGGAACAGTGTATGAAGTAACCAAAGATTAATCCGGTATTAAAAGGCAGTTCAGGGATGAACTGTTGGGGCACTCCATTGCTTTCTTCCAGGTCTGGTTCTTCAGTTGCCTGCCCTGTGGGATTTCTCAGGATCCATTCCCATTTTCCTGAAGGCATTGCCTGAACATTAATGAGTCTTAACATGAACAGGAATTCCCGAGAGCTTGGGAGTTCCATTACTTTCCAAAATGTGGGCATTCAGAATGTGAAGATGTAATACAAAGAAATTCAGAATGTTATTTTCCCAGTGAAGGGATCCTCTTACATCCAGTTATTAGAAATCCACCATCCTGACAAAGCCCGTATTCCTGACCGAATAGTGGATGAATTAACGGCTTTACGTCGTGCTTCCCTCTAACTTCTCGGTCGTGTGACGCACGCTGATGGTTGGGTCTCTGTATCTGCTTTTAAAATTGTGGAGGAGAGGGTATCATACATGTGAAGGATTTGACATGAAAAAAACCCTAAAAATAGCAGATGTTCAATACATTTTTTATTGATGGCATTTCCTAGTGAACAAGAAAGGAAGGAACCCAGAAAAGGCAGATTAGGAATTCAGATTGAGCACAGGGCTTCTCACCAAAATGAGACTCAAGCTGAGTTTTCAGACATGAATGGTGGAAAGGAGCTGCACTATTTAGTGAGCAGAAGACCAAGAATATATAAGACATGTAGGACCTGTAGCCCTGAAGGCAGTCTGTACAGAAAAGACACCAGTGCAGAGTATGACTCTGGTGTCAGTGGTGGCGTCATTGTTAGCATGGATCTAAACTTGCGAAAGAAGTAACTCAAGTCTATCGCTCTGCTTTATGAAGACACATTAACCTGCCCCTTGTACTTGGATTTTGAACATTGCAGAATAATCAACTTTCACTTTATGTTGTAACATAACGTACTCTACTGCTTAAATAATGTAATGTGATGTTTACATAACGAGGGCGAGATTGTTTTTTCTGTGTGTTTACTAGTATATGCCAGTATCTGGATAAGGTTTGGCACCTAATGGGCTCTCAGTAAATACGTATCAATTGGATGAATTTCTGAACGTAGTACATCATCTGGCGAGATTATTGTGAAAACCACACAAATTAGTGGATGTAACTTCCTAAGGATATGGAAATCAAAACGGTGTGCTTGATTGCTAGCATTTATCATTGCCTGTATATTTTAAGAATTATTCTGGAAATTACGCATTTAAAGTTAATGTCACAGTGAAGAAATATGCAGAAACTTTTAAAACTTCATCTGAGAAAACCGAGGGTTTGAGTGCCTCATTTCGTCAATAAAACAATACCTGAAATCAGATTGAGGCCTTGACAACTGATTTTTCATAACTAAATACATTTGTTGTATCACTACTTTACTTTCTTGTAAGAGGTCATGTATATTAGTGTATACTCTGTGTGCAGTACGAGTGTTTCAAAACAGAAACCTTGTTTGGTGATAAATTAGCTTAGAAAAAACAGAACTATATTTTAAAGAGTCTCTCAACCCTACCACGATTTAATGTGTTTTTATAATGTACTCTAAGGGAAAAGAAAGAAATTCGAGAACTCAAGTCAGGAAACAAGCGTGTCGTGGAGACTGATAATGATCGACTGTTAAGTGATATTTCAAGAAACATTAATACGGTTTGTTTTTTTTTAATGTAGAGTTAATAGGACTGATCAGCCTTAAAATGAGGTCGTTTGTGAACAGCTCTTAATAGATTCAGACAGGAAAGGTTATCCGTGAGAATGAGTTTAAATTGTTCTAGTTTTAAAAAACAGTTGCTGCTGTCTTCTAGGTATAGAGCACCGAGACTCACAGCATTCTTTCTTGGCATTTTTGAATACGCCTACCGATGGTCTGGATCAACTTGAAGTAAGTACTGAACTGTGCAAGTATTCTTTGTGGTCAGTTTCAAATTCAGGTTGTGATTTAAAATTTGTTGGCGGTGAAACGGTTTTATCACTTCCCACATAAAAGGGCCTAGAATCTTCTATAAACAAGAGCCTATTAAGAAAGGAATATGTTCTGTATTCTTATGGAAATGGTGATCACATGTATATGTAAGAAAAATCTAAGAAACGTCTAAATATGAGCATCCCAAGATTTAAAAGAAATGTCATCCCTTCCCCTGGGAGACAGGAAATGCAGAACAAATCCTAACTTTTGAAGTAATGTTGACACTTTTGTTTTTTCTCCCAAGCATAGAGCCACAATTAAAAAAACAAAACAAAACAAAACAAAACAAAACAAAACAAAACAAAACGGTGAAAAAGGTCAATCTCAGGATAGAGCAGTGCTAGTTCTAGCTCCAAGTCAATTCAGGTTTTTTTAGGAGTTTACAATAGGCATACTTTTTGTTACAAGTATTACCTAGAGAGTGTTAGGAAGATTCCATAATAATGAAATAGTGACTGTATGCCTGTCAGTTTCTGCTGCTTAAATTCTTTGCCAGGGGGAAAAAAACCAAATTCATAAAGTATATTTTCGTCCCAGAAAATTCACGTTACTGATTATACCTCTAGTAAACAAATAATCTTGTATCTCTGTGCAGAGCACTGTTAAAGGTGCCGGAGTTAAAGTAGTGGCCAAATAGACCGCGCCCTGCTCTCCTAGAGGTTACGTTCCAGTGGGAACAATTAGAGGCAGAGAGATCCCGTTACTCCTCAAGTGTTTCATTTAATTTGATTATTAATGATCTGCCGTGCACTTCACCGTATTACGTTTTGGGTACAATATATGCATTGTATTTCATTGCTTTGGGATAGGGATCAGCTTTTAAAAGTAATTACTAGAGTTCTAAGTTTCGTGAGCAAGTGACAATGACTGCTTTTCTCATTTGTTTGTTTGAATTAATGTCATTTGCCTTTTAATTGTTTTACAAGATTTTTGATTTCTTATTTGTTCTTATTAAATTGCTTCATCCATATTTTCTATTTTTTTTATTGCTGTATTCGTTAAATAGGATTCCTTTTCTTCTTCCTCATCTTCACTGATTGATTTTTTGGATGACGTAAGTCTTTGATTTTCAAACCATCAGTGAATTGAATTGAAGAGTTTTGCCTAGTAATGCATTCAGTTTTAGAATGATCACACCTGGTAATTTACTTGTGAGACAAAATTTGCTTCTTGTCTGAAATGAAACAAAGGGTTTATTTTTATTAAACATCAGGAAGTGAATATGTACTTTGAAAAATGCTTTGGCCGTCAGGAATCTGGATTCCCTTTCTTTGCAACAGTTCTGAAGACTGGAATGCTTATTTGATTATTGTCACTATGTGGATAAATATATAAAAGGGCTCATTTTTCTTTTTCATGGCAATTTCTGTTTCACGTTCCCCTTTGCAGCATTTTGCTATTTAATTTTTATGTTAGTTAGAAGTAAACGTCTGGTAATAAAATCAGAAAAAGTGACGTATTAAATCTTTCAGTAGATTTTATTGTAACATAATAATTGAGTACAAATCAATTTTTAGTGCTGACAGAATTTCTCTTCTAATGTGGAAAGTGATTTTAGTTAACATATGTGCTACATGCACTATAAATTGACTGCATTATCATTTTCTCTCCTAAATTAATTCTGTAGATTTGATCATTTAGAAGTCCCTGATGTCTTCACTCTCTTTACTGAAATGCCACCTGTCCGCGTTCTCTCTGTTCCACATTAAATGGCACAAAAAATCCCTGTCATAAGGCATTTTGTTGTCCTGTTGAACATTTAACCTTTCTAGAAACTGGAAAATAGAATGGGTTCAGATGCAGATGTTCTGCGCAGAACCCAGTTTTTAAACCTGGGGCAATTTTTATGTTTTATTTTTTGTGTTCTGTTAAACATAATTCTCACATTCAGAAGAGTACTTTGCATAATTTTCCACTCAAGAAAACTCTTGATCTAGGCTTAAACATTTTTTTAACTGATTTTTTTTTCTGCCTTTGAAATACCATACCAAAGTGTACTATTTTCCATTCTGAATGGAAACTATTTCATCATTCTTGAGACGGTCCTAGTTCACTCTACGCTGTGATAAAAAGAGAACTCTCTTGATGTACAACAGTATTTCATGTTACCATCTACTGGATGTTTGTACTAAAATATTCAAGATATTATTTCCATAGAAACATCATTCACTTGAAAGAGAAAGACAAGGAAGTTTGAATAAATTCTTTTAATGGTTCCTTCCGCTAGAAAACCATTTCCTTTCTCTTTTGCTAACAAACCCTTCTCCCCGCCCCTTCCCTTCCCACACAAAGCTCTGAATGTAGAACACGGGAGCCCGGGTGTCCTGTGGCCGACGGGCCTGCTACGGGGACACCCGCGTGGCCCCGCTCTGTCCGCTGCCACCCGGCCGTAGTGAGGAAGCGTCCCGCTTTGACGTTCCTCCAGAACTCTCTTGTCCTTCACCCACCGGCGCTCAGCCTGAGCTCAGTTCACACAGACCACCGAGTCTTAACCCGGCACAAAGGAACCCCTGTTACACAGCGAAAAGGAGTTGAGTTCACACAGGCTGAATCTTTCTGATCCAGGCGCCAGCTCTTAAAAAGCATGGTCTCTGCTCCCGAGGTTCCCCTTCCCGCTTACTGGGTAAGCACATAAGGTGACCCAAATCCTGCCTCCACCACCTTCCAGGTGTGTGGCTGGGAGCAAGTTACCCAACCTCTCTGCGCCCCAGTCTGCTGGTCAGAAGAACAAGGGTGATAACAGCGGTACCGACCCGTAGGTGGTTGGAGGACTTAAGGGAACAGCGAACGTGAGGCCCTTGCCCTGCTGTTGCCTTACTCGTCATAGGCCGTTCACCCCCTTCCCAAGTTCCTTTAGCTTCCTTTCTTGTCCAGGAGTCCGTTGTCGCCTGAATGTCGCCTTTAGCCCTCTAACCACCTTTCCACCCCCACCCGCGCGGGTCACCGCACCTTCCCCCTGAATCGTCAAGTCAGGTCACCGCTGCGCGTTGATTTTTACATGTCAGGGACAAGGCCAGCCGTCAGCTCCCATTTTCAAACATAGTTCGTCTTCTTGCTTCATGTTCTATGGCCGGAGGCTCTTTCTGGTTGATGAGTACGACCGCTCTTCCCAGAGTCCTCATTCCGTTCACCCTCGAGGCTGTGGGAGGATGAGGTTTTTGAAAACCAGCGTCCGGTCCTCGGCACGCTTGCGCTCAGCAGCCGAGACGCGAGGCGCGAAGCTTCAGTTCTCTTCGGCGTTTGGGATCTTAAGGAACAGAGTGAATTGTGATCTTTGTGCCCACGCTCCTTGGAGTGTTGTGCGGGGCCGCCCCCGACAGCGAGCAGACTCTAACCCTCAGCCACCCCGCGCGACTCACCCTCGCGTCCTTCTTCTCTGGCGTCGGCCTCACTGCTGCAGAAGGGAAGCCGGGCACGCCGCGGACCCGGAATTTGAATCACAGGCAGGAACTCATGGGTTTAGGAAGGGATAAAGCTGAGGTGGAGCAGGATTGCAGAAAGCAAGTTTTCTTTGGCCTCCGCACGCCATCGACCTCCTCGTCTGCTCGCCGAGGCCTAGCGACCTCGTTCTGCCCTCTGGTTTTTTAGAACCAAACCACCGGCCCCTCCCCGCCTCCAGAATCACCTTTGACTTCCTTAAGTTCAAAATTCAAGCGAATGCTAGAATCTGGGCACACCCAGAGCAGTTTCCTTTTAAGTTGCACCGTTTGCACAGGTCTTGCTACGCATAGAGTTTCCAGTAAGCGCGGCCTTGACGGTGGAGCAGTGTACGGAGGTTCCTTCCTTCCCTCTGATTCGGGCGAAGCACCTGCTTCTGTGACTCAGGAGAACTCAGGTGGTTGGGCTTTCCTACGTGCATGATCATGAACTTCTTCTGAAAGAGAAAAGAACTTGGGACATATTCAGTCCATGCTTCTGGCCACCATTTATCACCACCTTCTCCCATTAGTAAAGTGGGCGGTCTGCTGTCCCATTAGGGAAGTTTCTGGACTCTCAGTCTTTGTGGGAATAGGGAATTAGTGGCAACGGGGTATGACACTATTGAGGGCAGATAGAAGGGGGGTTAATTCATGTTAAAAGAAACTGACGTCACTCTGACCACTTTGTCTCTCGGGTCAGGCATTCCCACGTGTGGTGAGACACCAGTGACCGCAGGGTAGCCTCATCTTTTCTCCCAACCCCACACCCCAGTCCTAGACTGCCTGGGGTGACTCCATATTGGCCCAGCCTCCAGGTCCCGAACAGGGTGAGGGACAGGTGGAGCTCGGCAGTTTGGCCTTTCCCTCATCTGTTCCCTGCATCCCAGGGGCAAGAAGTCCAGGGATGACCAGACCACACTTACAAACTTCCCATCCTGGTCAGTTCGTTTTCTTCTTTTCAAAGGAACCAAAGATAATACTTGGCTTGACTGTATTAAAGGTAATGCTAATTATGGTCATCTAAATGAACCACTTGTTGTTGTATTTGGTAAACAGATTGTCATGTATTAAATCTGTGCCAGGTAGGTTTTGAGTTTTATTAAATTACGATTCTACACTCTGTTCATTTGGGCCAAGTTCACACACAAAAATGGGAATTGCCCATTTACCTGGCAAATGAGAATTTGCCAACTTACTTTTGGGATGCTGTCTTAACTCTAGTGTGCCGAGGAAAGAGTAGACCAAGGAATTAAAGGTCAGACATAAAGGAATAGAGTTAGTACCATTGGTCCGACTGTCTGATCCTCACAAACCCTGTTTTCTTGTATCCTGGCCAATTCCGAGAAGCCAGCATTCGGAGAGTATTGACAAGCTCGTTCTCCTACTCCTCGTTTTGGCCTCATATTAAAATCTTGCTACGATGTCCTGAACTATTTAATTTCAGCCCGGCTCCTAGCTTCCTTCATTCATCTCTTCCCTGTAGAGATCTCTTGTCTCTCCCCTGGCTTCTTTTATGTTCTGTCATCACCAGTCACAGAAATCTGAGGCTTTGCAGCATTGTGTCAGCTGGATCTGGGGCAATTCGATCATCCATGAGAATCCGTGGAAGACAGAATTTTAAAACATACATTATAAAGATCTTTTCATCCTATGACTCACACTAGGTGTAGATCCTGCTGAGAAATTATGGCATTTCTGATATTTCCTCCTTCAATTCTTTTTTTTTTTTTTTTTTTTTTTTACAAAACTTCCATCCACATGTTAAATACAACCCAACTTGAAACTCACGTTTCAGGAGATTGTCATATGCAGCCCTTCTCTCATTTAGGCAGGATTCTATCTTAATTATATATACAAGATCTGTATTATATTCTCATACATTGAGGCAGTCTAGAGGGAAACACCCATGACCACCCAGACTTTCACTCTTCACTCTCCTGTTTAAGAAGACCTTTGGAATTCATTAACTGAATCTTAAAAGCTATTTGCCAAATCCGTGTCTATAAGATAAAGTACTTCTTTTGGTTTCTGCTTGTGTGCCTCCTCCTACGATCAGCCTGAGCATTACGGTGGCGACCGAGAGACCTAGGTAGAAAAGGCATAGTTTTAAAGTGTATATGATTGGAGATGAGGGCAACATACTGGCTTCTCCCGGGCTGTGAGACCAGTTCCACTGTTTGTACAAAACCGTGGTTGTGTGTCAGTGTGTAGAAGAGAGAGCGTAGTGTGTGTTCCTGTAATTGTATCATCAGGAAGCGGCCTAATTTCCCCTTCTTGTTGAAAACAGAAAAACGGCTGTCTGGTTTCTAGGTAGACACTTTGGGAAGAACATTATCACTATGATTTAGTATCATTATTAGCTTTATACAGTGCCAGCTGAGACCAGGTGTTGTCCTTCATACGCAGAGATGGTTTTGAGAGACGTTTTGAATTGTTTTTAGTATGGTGGCAATGTGTGTACTTTGAACTAGTCATGCATTTTTTCACGGATTCAGCACACTCCCAACTCTGCTCTAGAAGTGTAGAAAGATAGCCAGAAAGTCAAGGATTCTCTGTGTTAATCCTTGCACGGTGGTAGCTCCTAAGACGTAGCACATGGAGACATAGGCCGCGAAATGCTTATCATCTTGTTAGAAAAAAGAAATCCATGGTTATGTGCTGCGCCATGTCGAAAGTGACAGGTGCCGTAAGAAATATTTCAGTTAAGTATTGCAGCATTTCAGAAGGATTCATTCAGTACTTATTAAGGATTTTTAAATTGATAGGTTTTATTACGATAAGCATGTTACCATGTTTCTTGCCCTGAAGAATCCGAGTCTGATGGAAAAACCACATGTGTAAATCAATAATTATAACACGATTGGGAAAATCAAACTAATAAAAGATATGGACTGTATATCATAGGAGTATAAAGGAGAGATACCTGACTGAGCCAGGCGGCTGCAGAAAGGCTTTCTGAAGGAACCAGTGCCTGAGTGGGGTCCCCACGGATAGATGAGTGTGGTCCACGGAGTCCAAGAGGAAGGTGTGCTAGTTACACACTGGACGAAGAAACACAAATTGCTTAGGAATCTGCAGGCCTTCTAATCCCAGTTCACCATTAACTCTTCAGGACACGGTGTTCAAGTCAGCCCCCTTCCCATTTCCTAGAAAGAAATAATAGTTCCTGGTTAGCGATCTGCCAGAGTTGTACAGATAATACCGGTAATCCGGAATGATCTTCTTACCCTTCCACGTTTTCTCTGGACTCTTCTGTGGCTCCTGTAGACTCCGTTTGTAAACTCCCTCCTCTAGGCCCCCATGCAAATCCTGTACGTCCCGCCTCCGGCCTCCCACAAAACTGTGCAGCAAACCTCAGCTACCACGTGAGGCCCACTGTTGGCGGCCTGGGGTCTTCCCCACCTTGTAAAGACCTGACCCGTTGCAAAACCTCAGGAAATGTTAGGTTCAGTTGAATATAGGGAGTTGCCAGAGGTAGAGATGGTTTATGTGTGTGAAGCTCTGCTCTTTGCACATCCCAAAGTTCCAGAGGCTTGGGACTGTTTTGATGCGGTTACTACCTGCTTATTGTTCTTGCTGTTTTTCCCTAATTACTGAATCTTCAATGTCAGAAAGGTGACGGTCCCTTTTGACTTAAGCCTAATATCCAGTCAAGGCGGGTGGTATCGTTGTGAAGTAACTGTTTTTGTTTTCATTCACGGTCAGTGATTCCAAAGGCCTAATTTAGCTCTTACCATTGGAAAGAATCATCTTTGAAAACAGTAAGAGTTTGGTAGGGAAAAGACCGGCCCGTGAAATATTTTATTAAGTGCTAACTGGCGCTCAGTCAGGATTATTTGGCTCCTTTTCGTTCTCCTGTTTCCAGTTGCTACTTCCAAACCTCCACAGGAAGGAGATTGTCCCTCACTCGCTGGAGCGCCATTGCGTGGGTCACTGCGCGGGGTCCAGCGAAAGCGTTATTGTCACCTTAGCCCGAGTCCGAGCAGCCGTTTCTCCGCTGTCCTATCCTCCAGTTTTTCCTGAAAACAAATGTACTTTGAACCTATCAGAAAATGTGTCTCTCTGTGTATGTTGGTAGACTTTGTCTGTTAATACGGCGGGAGCCGTCGAGAGTCGTGTGTATTTGTAACGTGGAGTATTCTCCTTTCTTTGTTGAAGCGCTCTCCGTCCTGCACTCCAGCTAGCAAAGGCAGACGTGTAAGAAACCACTGCACCGTGTGTCCCCACCCCACGCCCTCCTCCCTGTCTCTCACCCTTTTTGCCTGTGGTTGCAGAACACGCTCACGTCCCCGTGATGTGCTCTTCCTCCGCTGCATGCTTTGTGCTGCTGCTCTCGCTCTTGCCTTTCCGTGTTTTCCTTTTCTTTCTTTTCCTTTTCTTTCTTTGGCTTGGGCCGTAAAGCTTCAGGAATGTTCGTCTACATTTCGGCAACCAAACGGCTCAAATTATAAGGTATCTTTTTCATGTTTAGTAGGAAAGAAAGTGATTCTAAAGTTTGCTGTCCAAATCAGTCCCCTGCAGAGTAAATGAGTTTCTCAATAAGAATCTGATATGAGCAGATACGTGGAGATTTCCTAGAGATTTTAATTATGTAGAAAAAAGCTTGACAATTCATATTATGCAAAAGTCAAACGAATTTGGGGCAAGTTATAGATCTTATTGGCTATAGTTTGACGTAAATCTGTTCAGCAGAAATCTTTGATAGATTTTTTTAATGTAGTTCAAAGGAATGTCCCTAAATACATTTATAGATTTGAAGCCTTAATGTTGATTGTTAATTGTTTATATTCTAAGGTAGCTCCAAGATTTTTAGAAATATCGTGACATTCTTTATATATGTATTGGTAACCGACTGTCAGCATCATCCTGTACTAAGGCTAGGTCAGGGTTTGTCAGGATTAAATGGGCTAGGCCACTACCTCTATCCAGCACGATTCTGACATGCCCAGAGTGGGGGATGTATTTGTAGAAAGGTCTCAATTTCCCTTCATCAGCATCCACCCCAATGTCATTATGCACAACACATACACTCCGTAGTTGAAAAGCGGTGGGCTGGCTGATGTTTGCTCTGTTTTTCATATGCGATGTAAAATAGTAACATTAAAAAGGAATGCCTGTCGTAGGTGGAAGTTTTGAAACCTGTCGTCGGCTTCATAATCGTTGGTATTGGTCAGCACCTTAAATCCAAAATTCTTGAGAATTCTTGGACTTGGAAAGAGCTAGATCATGGAATTCTCTGGTTTATGGAGAACGCGGGAAATAGTAGGGTGGCTCGATTAACCCTCCTAGAGCACATGTTTCCAAACTACTGCTTAATAGTGAATAAGCAGTTCGGATACCAGTGAGGCGGCCAGTATGACTTCAGCTAGTACTCCATTGATCAGTGAAGTCTTCGAAGAGATTGCTGGTTCAACCAATTTTTTTTATTATCCTGACATTTATAGGGTTAAAACCATTGGGTGCTTGGATTTATCAGATTGATCTTTGAGTATGTGTTAAGTATATCGTATAACCTCTAGAAAGGAAGACCACAATATTGTGTGCCCAACGATATTAGGTTCAAATCATCAGCCTGTGACTTGACTAAATTTTTGACTGGTTTTTCTTTAACATGGTTACAGTTCAGAGAGATTTTATTTCGCTGGTTAAATATAGATTGTATCTCACTTGCCTTGCAGATTTCTAGGGGCCCTGACCCAGAACACTTCTGTGGGTCTTGGAATAGGGAGAAACTTCTGAGGGAAATAGCCGTTACAAGGTTCCTCCTGTTCAGTCTCTGTCTTCATCTTACAGGATGTGACTAAGCCACACTGACTAGAACCCACTGACTGTTTCTGTATGATTTTTTAAATGCAGATGTGATAGGCTTGGTAATCTGCTTCCCAGGATTTCTGCAATTTTTCCTTGGTTATGTATCTGGCAAGTTAAAAAAAAAAAACCTCTCTGAAAAGTGCTGATGTCTTGGAGGGAGCTGAGTGAAGAATTACCAGCTACTCAGCAGATCCATAGAAGCATCATGGCGGTACAGTGAGGGGCCCAGTGGCCCTGGGAAATAGCGGCGCATTGCAGAAGGGACACAGGTCGTTACCATTCCTAACAGTGGCCTTGAATCTAACAGTGATGTACAATTTTGTTATAGCCTGTGTTTTTAGACAAGCAATACGTAATACTTTTATAAATTTAAAATTCTTTAAGTGACTGTTCAATGTCATATAAGTGAGGTATTACAATTTAAGGTTTACTGGACTTTTATGTCCAGTGTGCTGGAAAGTCCCATTCTTTATAAATGGTGCTATTCAAGTAAGCATAGTATAAGAAAGATTGGTTACGAATACTGTTGTTAATGCTTGAATGTAAGTGGTTAATGGAAAGGTCCACAGTGTTTTCATTAATAGAAGCATTGAATTTTAGAGTATTCCTTCCGAGTTTAGAACAGAGATTTTAAATAACACGTAGCCGAACTTTCTGTTTTCTGAAAACATTTGTGAAGTCTCCAGAGTAGATCTTCAAATCAACATGTGGAAAATAATGAGAAATTTTCATTGAGTACCAAGTTATTTTGTTTGTAATTAGTAAGATTGCACTTACTTGTCATAACCTTGAGTAATTTATTATTTGCTTTAGGATGATAAAATATTATATTTGCTGTTTCCCAAATGATCTAGTATTTCCATAATACTGTTTTTATCGTAAGTTCAATTAACAGAAATAATTACATCGTTGAAAGTTTGAGGTTATAAAGTGTTCCTGAATACAAAAAAAATTGGATTACTTGCCACTTTGTTTCCAAAATACTTCTAGCTTAAAGGATGATGATAATGGGGGTTTTTTCTTAGAGTTTTAATTTTCTTAGAGTTTTATATTTACTAATGCAAAACAAAATGTTAGATGGAAGCTTTTTTTTTTTTTTAAATCTAGATCAAATGCATATCAAATCTTGGTATCTTTTACTTTAAAACCAGGTTTCTTATGGGAATGTTTTGCTTTTTGTATCTGTTCAAATCTGTAATTATTTTGGAGTAGAAAAGGCCCATTGATAAATAGTCAAGATGAGTCGTTTTAGTGGTTTTTATTATTTATCAGAAAACCATACTGCGTAACTTGAGGACTTCACCTAAAAAATCAGATCTGATCCTAGGAGAGGAAAAAACTTTTCTGTTTGACTGCACTGCTCTAACAATACATTTTGTCGATCATTCAGGAGGGAAATCCTAACAGATTCAGGAAACATTATGGACTTTTTACATGGCAGTGTTACGTACCGTGGATGATACCTCTGATAACTCATTCCGTTTTCCTTTTTTTCCCAAACGGTAAAGCAATAGGTAAAAATTACATTGCGTATAGTAGATGTTTCTATTGCCTGCTCCTCAGAATAACTCCTGGAAGTGTGTCTACTTAGAAAAGAGAATTAGGTAACCAAAACAATAGGAAAAAAAATCACATTTATGTAAAGACATCCCTCATGTTTTCACAGTAGATTGCAGCTTAGAAATATTGAGTGAATGGCTTATACTATTAAGATTTGTTTCCAAGATCTTTCTCCAAATATCAGAAGGTGCTGTCCAATAAATATTAGCTATTTATTGTTTTTTGCTATTTTTCTCCTTTTTATCATTCCTTCTACAACCATTTACCCGATTAACGAATTATGATATCTCTGCTATTGGTGCGTATCATACTTATCAGCTTTTCCTGAATTATGAATTCAAGTCATTGCTTACATTGAATGCTATCCAGTTTTTCAAAACACAGAGAATTTAACTTCCATGATTTAAGTATATTACTAATGATTGTGTTATAACCATGATAATGGCTCAGAAGATATAAGCACAGTTGATGTGCTGTCAATCAGTTGCTTTGCCTCCATGTTCTATGTGAATCATTGCCAGTTAATTTTCAAATTAATTTTAGGCTATCTGCAAAGTCTGCCTTCTAGTTATTGAGTATTCTGAAGGTTTAGTAAAATCAATTGCTTTTTAGTGGGTAGAATCACTAACTATAAGTATGTTGGTAAGCTTGTAGTTGTAGATAAAATTAGCATCTTGAGAAACCAGTCCTGTTGGTGTTAATGAACACTTTGATGTAGAAGATATATAAGTGGTATTACGTTTTTCTTATTCTTACTGTTAAACCTCTTTTGAGATATCGTTTACATTGGCAGTAATGCAGAAAGGAAATGAAATATTTAAATCTATTAGTCTAACAGGTATTTGCTTCCAACACCTTTTAGAAGATCTGGGAAAATTTTTTCTTAGTTTAATATTCAAAACATCATTGCCACGAGTTTATTCTTCTGTACCAAACTTTGTTCCTTGTCTTTCCTAAGAAACACACTTTTGAAAAATAAAGTGGTAATGTTTAAGCTTCACTTATACATTCACGTGTTTTAAAAAGAGTATCATCGTAAATGGTATAGCTCAACTTTTATAAATCTACTCAATGCCATCTCAAAATATTACTCAAATATGTTTACTTATTTTAAATTTTTAAAAATAAGAACTACCTTGATTTTGTTTAATCTCTGGAATTTAGTTTTATTTTAAGAGCATACAGTTCCAAAAAGTATGGTAATTTTCATTATTCTCTTATTAGAATTGGTATTGGGTTAGGTTTTACGTCTAAACGTTTCCTCTTTTGAATAACCAGTTTTTACCTCCCGCAGCTCAGAAAATCGTTTTAAAATCTGTCCTCATTCCTGTGGTTTTCTTTGTTATTTATGAGTAAAAACTGTGAGGAGAAAAAGACTTTTTATAAGTGACCGTGATTCTAAAGAGGGGCCAAGAGGTATGTATTTGAGGCCTCAAGAGTTCCCATCAGAGTCACTAATTTCTGTCATGACGGATGAAACCCCGAAGGCACCATTTTCCCTTTGTTCAGTATCACACCGTCAACGTCACCGTTTCGCAGGGTCGTGAAACATGATGGTAAATGTTTCCGTGACCAACTGTGGGCGGAGGCAGGGGGATGGGTTTTTAGGCGTGATGACTTCCGCGACGTACGCCTCCCCGATCCCGGTGCAGGCAAGTGTAAGTAACAAAGCCGCCTGCCCAGCCCCTGGCCGCAGCCGTCAGTCCTGCTCCCGCTGCCGCCGGGACCCCTGAAAGCCGGCTCCCGCCCTCCTCGCACCGGCACCGGGCTTAAGGCCACCGCCCTCCCCGGTAGGAAGCCACTGTGTTGGCCGGTCAGCCCCGTTCGTCGGCAGCTTTGTCCTTCGTACGGGGCCTCGGCTCCGGTCTTCCAGTCACGCTTTTGTGTGACCGGCCAGAAGCTTCCGCTTTCTTAAGATGACTCAGTTCTTCATACTCAGCAAAGCCCCTACTCAGACACTTCTTTGAAACTTTATGACGGGGGCACCTGGAGGGCTCGGTCGGTTAAGTGTCCGACTCTTGGCTTCGGCTCAAGTCATGATCTCACGGTTTCGTGAGCTCGAGCCCCACATCGGGCTGTGCGCACCAGTACTGTTTGCATATCCGGTCCGTGTTCGTTGAACCCTTTCCCCCGCGGACTCGTCGTACTCAGCTTGCCATTACAGAATCTTACGGAAACTAGCAGGAGGAGATTTTCAGAAAGTGGGACCTTTCGGCCTTATTTCCAGCCCGGGTTTAAACTCCAGATTGATGATTTGAATGGAACACCTTCCCCATGCCTGTCCCTGAGCAAATTTGTGAACTGGGCAGAAATCGTCCAAGACTGTCATCTTCTTCTCTCTTTATTCCCCTCCTCCTGGTCAGAGTTCACTGGCAGGAGAAAAAGATAATGTAACTCAGGCTCCATGAGCATTAAAGCCTTGAGTGGAGGTGCCTCTGGTACAACAGAAAGAACACAATTTGAAGGCAAGGGTGGGATTCAGGCCTGGGTCTCCCACTTCGTAAGCTGTACGAGCTTTCTGAAACGGACCGCATCGCCCGCTCCGAGCTGGGGCGCGGCCGGTATGCTTCAGTCCGAGTGCCCCAATTTTTAAAATATCGAAGTGCTTTCCCAGCTGTGAAGTGCATATGTACAGTCTTTAAGCTGACCGTTCTCTTTATTGACTTGTCACTTCTGATCTAAGCATTGTCCTTGCTGTACAGCACATTCGAAACAAATTCCCCTGACCTCTTTTCCAAACTGCTTTCCTCGCCTTTTCCCTTTAAACACACGATCCTGGTCATTTTGAAAATTGCCAGACGGAACCAGTCATTGATCAGTATGCTCAGTCTTTAATGCTCAGTTTTTTTTTATAATTTTTTTTTTAACGTTTATTATTTTTGGGACAGAGAGAGACAGAGCATGAACGGGGGAGGGGCAGAGAGAGAGGGAGACACAGAATCGGAAACAGGCTCCAGGCTCTGAGCCGTCAGCCCAGAGCCCGACGCAGGGCTCGAACTCACGGAGCGTGAGATCGTGACCTGGCTGAAGTCGGACGCTTAACCGACTGCGCCACCCAGGCGCCCCTTTAATGCTCAGTTTTAACCCAACGTCTTTTGAGTCTCTAAAAACATTCGGTTAAAAGGGTGCGGCTGAGTGTGAGTGCTGGCATTTCTGCCGCAGAATAAGAGGGCGGAATTGCCTGCAGTGACAGACACAAAGCTGATAAGTCTGTTTCTTTTGCCTGCAAGTGATGCCTGGTAGAGGCCCAGATGTCGTTCTTACAAAGGGCAGAATTATCTCGAACCTGCAGGACATACCTCTGTGAAGGCCTCTGCACTTGTGGGAGATTTCTCTTGTGAAACACGAACGTTTCACGTGGACTGCAAGAACGTGGAGTAGAGACCGGCGCGCAGAGTGAGAGGTCGGCAGTGAGGCCTGCAGCATGGCGGTACCTGTGGTCATCTTTCCCTCTGTTTACGGTAAAGCGAGCGGTCCTGCTCTCGTGGAATGACGCTTCCCGGAGGTGAACGTTCAGGCTGAAGTGCGTTTTCCTCTCTTCGCAACAAATGTTACCGTGATTGTGCCTTACAGAAATTCGCTAAGAGCTGCACGCTGTTTGAAAGTGGTATGCTGGGTTTTTGTCGTTCCTGGCTTCTCCTAGACTGATCCCGTTGAGAACACGTGTGTGCGGAATCCGAGCGTCCGGGTTTGCATCCAGTCAAGGTCCACATGTCCTCCCACTTCTTGTGAAGCTGAGCCAGCTAAGGTGCCTCCCTGGGGTAGCCCCGCTCTCCAGCTTGTCACTTGTCAGAAAGAGGGAATCGAAAAACAAGTGAAAGCCGACTCTTGTTTGACTCAAATATATTCTGTAATAAGTCACGGTCTACTGGAGAGCATTGCATTATTATTATAATGTAAATAGGACCGTAAAACAAAAGCAGAAAATTGTCCCCCCCCAAGTTCAACCTAAAACAGACAAACACTTATTTCACTAGAAAGGTAGTCTGTATCTGAAGTAGAGGACTGTGTGGAGCAGAGGGCGGGGTTCTCTAAATCTTGGAATTATCAGATACAAACCTCGGAGGCACACAGCCATGTCAGGTGCAATTCTCAGATTTTAACTCTTCTGATCTAAAAAGATATGCGTAACTGCCACAAAGTAGAGCTTAAAATTAAAATTGCCATTGCCGGCCGCTGAACAGTTTACTCTAACTGCCCATCAGCAGTGGGCATTCGGCCGTCCCCTGCCTTGCGGTAGCACAAAACCACCACGACCACCACACCAGTGTTGTTCTGCACCCCACGTGAATGCTTTCAAACAGCCGGCTGGCCACTTTTCTCAGCAGAGGTCATTGTCTCAACGAGTCGGAAGGGCGTCGTGCCTCAGTGGGTGCGGCTCAGATCGCGTCCGCTCCTCGGACAGCGCTGCCGCCGCCCCTTTGTTTCCCGTGTCGTCTCTGGAGCAGATGGCCCACCTGGGAAGGCTGTCTGAAATGAAGGGATCCGTGGTTCGAGTCTAACTGGGTCTTTTCCAGCCCTGCGAGTGACGACCGCAGACCGCTTAAGTTGATGACGCTCTGCTTTGTCTCAGTCGTTGAGTTTATACGTTTTGACTGTTGAAATCTTTGGAGCGTAGAGAGAATAGCAAACGCCCGTGTGGCCACCGTCCACAGATGTAGCAGATGTGGACATTTTTGCCCTGCTCTTTGCCAATTTGTTTTCAGAGAAAGTTGAAACACCCTCCCCTGTACCGTTCCCCTTCCTCCTTCCTCAGACGCGTCTAAAGACCCTGCCATTGACGTACTTTCTCTTCTTCAGTTTTACGTTTTACTTCATCTGTAGACAGCAACCATACCTGATAACAGTTGCTCTACGTTTATGTTTTACACACAGGTTATCTGTATCTTCCTGTAACCTAACCGCTTTCATTCAACGTGATGCTTTTGAACTTTCCTCCTGCAGATACGTGTCCATTTAGTCCACTCGTTACAACCGTTACGTCATATTGCGTTGTATGAATATACCACAACCATGTATGCATCCTCTTGTTGTTGGAAATTTGGGATATTTAATAATGTCATATTATTGGATATCTGTTTCCAATTTTTGTTGTCATAATCAGTGCTGAAGTGAACATTCTAATAGCTGTCTGCTTTTGTGTGTGCAGAGTGTGATTAGCTATGTACCTGGGAGTTGAATTATTGGATTGTATGGTATGTGCATTCTCAACTTTAACTAGATTTTGCCAAATTATTTTCCACAGCGGTTGAACCAATTTTCACTCCCACCAGCAATGTGTGAGAGTTCCCCATTTTCCCACATCTTCACCAACCCTTGGTACTGTCACACATTAACTTTTGCCAATTTGATGGGTATGGAGTGGGATTTTTAATTTGCATTTCTCTGATCTTAGTGTCAACTCAGCATCCTTTTGTATGTTTATTGACCACTGGTGATTTGCCTGTATATGTCTTTTGTCTGTTTTTCCATTGAATTGTTTCTTTTGTTTTGTAACTGTTCTTTATATACTCTGGATACTAATCCTTAGCTGGCTTATATGCACTGCAAATACTTTCTTCCCATCTGTAGCTTATTTTAAAATTTTATTTGGTATCTTTTTGTCTCGCAACAGTGTTTATTTTAAAGTAGTCTTATATATATATATCAATCATCTCCTCTATGACTCCCGTTTTTTTCATGCATTTCTAAAGCAATTCTGCCCTCTGCAGCATTTATAAAAGTTTTCTTCCATATTTTTTCTGAAAGTTTAAATTTTTTTTTATTTTACATGTTTAAGACCTTAAGCTGAAATCGGTTGTTACAAATTATGTGAAATGGGGTTCTAAATCCGTTTTTCTCAGGGGTTCCTGGGTGGCTCAGTCAGTTAAGTATCCTACTCTTCATTTTGGCTCAGGTCATGATCTCACGGTTTGTGAGATCAAGCCCTGCATCTGGTGCTGCACTGACAGCACGGAGCCTGCTTGAGATTCTCTCTCCTTCCCTCTCTGCCCCTCCCCCTCTTGTTCCTTCTCTCTCCCTCTCTCTCTCTCTCCCTCCCTCTCTCTGTGTCTTTCTCAAAATAAACTTTAAATAAATAAATCTGTTTTTCTCATATGAACAACTAATTCTCTTATATTTCCCTCATTGATTTGTAAAACTTTCTGCTTTATATAAATGGATCTGTTTGGGGGTTCTTTAGTCTCTTCTTCTGGTTTTGTTTTTTGGTTTTTGGGGTTTTTTGTTTGTTTTGTTTTTTGGTCTGTTCCTGCACCAGCGTCACATTGTCTTGATTACTGTAAGCCTGAAGTAATTCACCTGGTGTGATCGGCCACTCCCACCCACCTTATTCTTTTTCATTTTCTTTTTTTCACCCTTTAGTTTTACATATAACTTTTGTGATCAGCTTGTCAGATTCCATATGGGGCTTTTGATTAATTGCGTTGAATTTATAGATTCATCTGAGGAGAATTGACATCTTTGTGGTTGGGTCTTTCCATCTGTGAACATGATATGTACATATCATTTAGATATTCTTTTATATCCTCCGATAAAGTTTCATTTTTTTTCTTTATTAGTTGACTTCAAATTGCTTGTTAGATTTGTTCCTAGGCATAGGTACCTTGAAGAATGGGATCTTTTCCAAATAGTATTTTTATTTGGCATTGCTGGTCTTTGTGAACTCTGTTAATCTTGTCTCCAACACCCTTACTTCATTCCTTTTTATTCAAAACTTCTCTTAGATTTTCTGTGTAAATTCTAATGTCAATTTTGTTTCCTGTTGTTTTTTATTAACTTTCACATAGGTAGTGTTGCTCTCTTTTAGTTCTCATGTTTACCTTTTTCGGCATTAATTTATAAATAGGGTTGAAAACTTTTTCAAGCTATTTAAAGGTAAATTAAATTTTGGGCACCTGGGTGGCGCAGTCGGTTAAGCGTCCGACTTCAGCCAGGTCACGATCTCGCGGTCCGTGAGTTCGAGCCCCGCGTCAGGCTCTGGGCTGATGGCTCAGAGCCTGGAGCCTGTTTCCGATTCTGTGTCTCCCTCTCTCTCTGCCCCTCCCCCATTCATGCTCTGTCTCTCTCTGTCCCAAAAATAAATAAACATTGAAAAAAAAAATTTTTTTTAAATAAAAATAAAAATAAAGGTAAATTAAATTTAAAGGTAACCTCACAATTAAGCAGAAAATTCTGAGAAACTCCATTCCATTCTAAGGTTATTAAGCATATAAAATATTCGGTTTAATATAGTAACAAAGACAAAGACCATCCATTTTTGTCTTATTGTTTTAAAATATTCTGTAACTTTGTTCAAAGCTAGCTTTTTCCTCTTGCCTGCTTGCTTCGCATCCTAAAGTAATTCTTTGTGCCTTTTTTTTTAAACTTCGCTAATTAAGTGATGTCTCTTTTCCAGTAAAATCACTGGTTCCTTTCATTAAAAGAAATATCTTACACAAATACCTATAGAATAAAGATATGACTTTTAACTTTTAAATTTGCATGTTAAGTTCTGAATTCCAATAATATTAAACAGTCTAGCTTCCTTCTTTGGAAATTGATTTCTGCACAAAATCCCATTAATCATTCTCTCTCTCTCTCTTTCTCTCATCCTCACTTCCTCATTCTACACACACGTGCACACATGCACATGCACACACACATACACACACACTTAAACACAAATCCAGTGAATTGTGTTCCATATATGTAACATACATTCTGTATATAGAAGTTAGAAGTTAAAAGACTTCTAAATATTTTGATTATAAATCCTACTTTAAAAAACTCAGGAACTTTTAAGAATTAATGGGGGCATATTCAGATGAACTCGAAAATTAATATCCTCATTTTTTATGTAGACTACATGCTGTGATGTTTTTGTTTTCTTTGTGGATTCTCTTTTCTAAATCATTTCTTTTTAAATTTTGAGACAATTATTTTTTTGCTAATTGAGCAACTGTTTCGTTTGTAGATGTCGCAGGCTGAAATTTAAATTATCAACACTATGAGAATTTTAGCTTCATTGAGATATTATTTGCCTTATTGATGTCTTGCTTGGCTTTATTTACTTTGATTTATTTTTAGAGATGTTTGAAATAGATGGAGTGTTTCATGATCTCTGTTTCCTCTCTTGCCCCCGGATTCAGACTGTAGACAGTACTCCTCTTCCTGTTCACACACCGACCTTAAGGAAAAAGGGATGTCCTGCTTCAACTGGCTTTCCAGCTAAGGTACTCAATCTAGATACAAGCATGATGGGTTCTGAAAAAAAAAGTACTAATAATGGGTTTCTTCTGCTTTTTGTATTGTTGTAATTTGTGCTGTTGGTTCCCTCACAATCACACACATAAAAAGCTTGGAAAGAAAAGAAAAGAAATTGTATATGAATGGAAATAATCACCACCTGGAAAGGTAGGACGAGTGTTGCAGACCTTGTTTTCTTTTTATTCCGTCTTTCTCAATTTTTTTTCATTTCAGTCTAAATCAAAAATGACAGTTGAGAATGGGAGGGCTGTCTTGAAGTGCACGGTTTAGTTGGTTTTATTTATTTGGCGAAAAAGCTGACAAGTTGGGAGTATTACACCTTTTCTTTTTTAAGCATTTCTGAGTTTTTGAAACATTTCTGTTTTTGAAGTATATTCTCCTTTTACTTCATGCTGTTAAATATTTTTTTCAAATCAGTTATGGGCACTTAACGAATTGAAGGGGAAATAAAATAATTGAGAAACCAATTTTTCCAAAATCCCAAACAACTTTTTATTATTATTCTCATTTTAAAATATAAAGTCTGGAATCCATAGTAGTGGAGGAACAGACGACTTGAGTATACCGTACACACAGCATTAGCTTGCACACAAACACATTTTTGATTAAGGAGAAAGACTACAGACTTGAAGAGTTCAGAAGAATGCTGGATTTGTGTTTTGCCAGTTCTTCGGGGTTACGCTTTTTTTTTTTTAATACGCAGTCTCATTTAACGTTTATTTATTTTTGAGAGAAACAGAGCGTGAGTGGGGGTGGGGTAGAGAGAGAGACAGAATCCGAAGCAGGATCCAGGCTCTGAGCTGTCAGCACAGAGCCTGACATGGGGCTCGAACTCACGAACCGTGAGATCATGACCTAAGCCGAAGTGGGATGCTTAACTGACAGAGCTACTCAGGAACTCCAAAAATGTTTACTTGTTTTGAGACAGAGAGAGAGCAGGTGGGGGATGGGCAGAGAGACAGGGAGACACAGAATCTGAAGCAGGCTCCAGGCTTTGAGCTGTCAGCACAGAGCCCGACTCAGGGTTCAAACCCATGAACCGCGAGATCATGACCTGAGCCGAAGTCGATCGCTCAACCCACTGAGCCACCCAGGCGCCCCTCTAAGTATTTGCTTTTAAATAATATCTACTATTAAAGTTAGATATACAATTAACAAAATAAATGTATAATTGAACATAACTCGAGAAGGTTTAGCGTTCTAGAAAACACAGATTGGCATTTGTTGCTTATCTGCATAGTTAGTTCATGTAGGTAATACAATAAATGGAAATTTCTCATGAAGGGAGATTATTGCTTCTATGCTTGCTCTCTTTTTTGTGGTCTCCTTGCTTCCGTTTTCCCAAATTGAACATCTTGAAGTCTGTTACTGTGAGGAATAGTGCTTAGAGGACTCACTGTAAAGAAGATGTTGAGGCCGCTCATGGAAGAATTTAAGACTGAAGTTGACAAGCCACTGAGAAAGAGACATGTTTAGTGAGAAATTCAGCTGAATTACTGTTGTTTCATTCTATTCATTGTAACTAAGACTGAAGTATTGGTTATGGTAGAACATGAAGATTTAGTTGCTTAGCTCAAGCTCCTACAAAGAAATTCTAGAAATTGGAAAACTTGAATGACCTCCCTCCCCAGAATGTAAACCTTGGGCAGACCAGAGAATGAGAGACAGGTTGGTGGATCCGAAAAGCTAATGAGATACACAGAAGTATAACTGGTATAAAAGAAATACAATCTGCATAACCTATGCTAGATAAAGCAAAATTTTGAGGCCAAAATATGAATTTAAAATAAATAGGCACAATACGTATCTCAAAGAGACTTCAAAAAAAAGTATATTGGTAACAGGGAGTGGGATAAGGCAGCTGTGAAGAAAAACAATTTGCAAGTGCTCACATGAAAATATAACTGCTGACGTAAAGTACCCAGCAGACAGCCTCAGTGGAAGGAACAGACTGGATATAGCAGAAGAACAAGTTAGCGAGGCGGGAGATGAGATGGCTAGTCTAAGACGATGCGTGGTAGAAATAGTTTCAGTATCTCTGTAGTAGGACTTTCAAGGGGAAAGAAACAAATACAGAGTTAGAAGTACTGGAAGAAATAAATCACCTAAAATTTTCCAGCACTTAAAGCTGAAAAACCTCACATCGAAATACATCATTATGTGCTAGAGAGAATACATTTTTAAAAACTCACACTTAGACACATTATAGTCAAATTTAAGGATATCACAGATCAAGAGAAAGTTCAAAGTGTTAGAAGGAAAAGAACTGTGAACCCTAAAATATTAACCCAGCTATAATATCAACTATGAGAGGAAGTTAAAAATATTTTCATGTGTACAAGAATTTAGTTTATTATTGAAAAAAAAAAAAAAAACCTCATTGAAAAACTCTCATATACACTAACAACAAACTACCGGAAAGGAAATTAAGTAAACAATCCCATGTACAACTGCATGGAAAAGAATAAAATGCCTAGGAATAAATTTAATCAAGGAGATAGATCTGTTCACTGAAAACTATCAGACATTAATGAAAAAACTAAAAAGACACCAATAAATGGAAAAAATATTCTGTGTTCATGGATTAGAGAAATTAATGTGGTTAAAGTGTCTTTAGCACATGGCAATCTGTAGATTCAATACAGTTCTTATCAAAATTCCAGCAGCATTTTTCACAGAAATAAGGAAAACAATGCTACAATTTGTGTGGAACCACAAAAGACCCCTGAACAGCCAAACAGTCTTCAGAAAGAAAAAGCTGGAAGCGTCACACTTCCTGATTTCAAACTGTGTTACAAAACCATAGGAACCAAAATGGTATGGTGCTGGCATGAAAACAGAAACATAGATCAGTGGAATAGAATAGAGAGCTCAGAAATCAATATGCATATGCCTGTTTATTGAACATACATATGATCAATTAATTTATGACAAAGGCACCAAAAATAGACAATGGGGAAAGGATCATCTCTTCAAGAAATGATATTGGGAAAACTGGACAGTTACATGCAAAAGAATGAAACTGGACCGCTTTCTTATACCATACACAAAAATCAATTCAAAATGGATTAAAACCTTGAATGTAAGACCTGAAACCACAAAACCCCTAGAAGAAAATAGTGGGTAATCTCCTTGAGCACTGGGCTTAGCAGTGATTTTTTGGATTTTTTTTAATGTTTATTTATTTTAGAGAGAGAGTGAGCAGAGGAGGGGCAGAGAGAGAGGGAGACACAGAATCTGAAGCAGGCTCCAGGCTCCGAGCTGTCAGCACAGAGCCCGACGCGGGGCTCGAACTCACAGACCGCGAGATCACGACCTGAGCTGAAGTCAGACACTTAACTGACTGAGCCACCCAGGCGTCCCGATGACTTTTTGGATTTGATACCAAAAGCAAAGACAATGAAACAAAAGCAAAAGTCAGTGAAGTGGAACTACATCAAACTGAAAAACTTCACAGCAAAGAAACCCATTACCAACATGAAAAGGCAACCTACAGAATGAGAAAAAATACTGTAAATCATGTATCTGGTAAGGGGTTCATATCCAAAATAGAAGAGCACTCCTGCAACGCAATAGCAAAAACCAAAAACGTAATCCAGTTGAAAGATGGGCGGAGGACCTGAATCGACATTTTCCCAAAGAAGATATACAAATAAATGGCCAACAATTACATAAAATGGTGTTCAGTATCACTAATTGTCAGGGAAATGAAAATCAAAATGACAATGAGATATCACCTCATGCCTGTTACGATGGCTGTCATCCAAAGGACAAGAGATACCAGGTGTTGGCGGGGATATGGAGAAAAAGGAACCCTCGTGCACTGTGGGTGGGAATGTAAATTGGTGCAGCCACTGTGGAAAACAGCATGGAGGTTCCTCATGCACTTCAAAATAGAAGTACCATGCGGTCCAACAACTCCACTTCAGGGCATTTATCTGACGGAAACAAAATCACTATCTGAAAGAGATACCTGCACCCCCATGTTCAGTGCAGCATTATTTACAGTAGTCAAGACATGGGAATAATCTACGTGTCTGTTGACAGATGAATGGATAAAGAAAATGTGGCACATGCACACACACACACACACACAACACACACACACACACACACACACACACACACACACACACACTGGAATATTACACAGCCATAGGAAAAAGGAAAGTCTTACAATTTGTGACAACGTGACATGGGTGGGCTTCGAGGGCATTTTGTTAAGTGAAATAAGAGATAGACAAATACTGTATGATCTCACTTATGTGTAGAATCTTAAAAATCTGAACGCCACAGAAATGGAGAACATATTGGTTGCCGGAGGTGGGGCTGGGAAATTAGGGAAATGGCTGAAGGAGGCTAAAAGGTACAGACTTACAGTTATAAGGTAAGTAAGTTCTGGGGATGGATGGAAAGCATGGTGACTCTAGTTAAGAACGCTGTATTGTATATTTGAAACTTGCTAAGAAAGTAGATCTTTTTTTTTTTTTTTAATTTTTTTTTTCAACGTTTATTTATTTTTGGGACAGAGAGAGACAGAGCATGAACAGGGGAGGGGCAGAGAGAGAGGGAGACACAGAATCAGAAACAGGCTCCAGGCTCTGAGCCATCAGCCCAGAGCCCGACGCGGGGCTCGAACTCACGGACTGCGAGATCGTGACCTGGCTGAAGTCGGGCTTAACTGACTGCGCCACCCAGGCGCCCCAAGAAAGTAGATCTTAAACGTTCTCCTCACAAGAAAAAAACAGTTGCAACTATATGAGGTGATGTGATGGATGTTAACTTACGGTGATCATTTTGCACTACATACATCCACCAAGCCATTGTGGTAGACACCTTAAACTGACATGTTTTATGTCAGTCATCTCTCAGTAAAACTGGAAGACAGAAAAGTAAGTATTCTTAGAGGAAGTACTCCATCAAAAAAGATGGATAAAGCCACATGGCCGCTGTGAGAGATTTGGGA